TGGGTTGACACACTGAACAGCGGGGTGGGGTTGACACAGTGAACAGCGGGGCGGGGTTGACACAGTGAATAGCGGGGCGGGGTTGACACACTGAACAGCAGGGCGGGGGGGGGGTTAACACACTGAACAGCGGGGCGGGGTTGACACACTGAACAGCGGGGCGGGGTTGACACACTGATAAACTATGAGAGTGCCACTGTAAGTGCCACTGCGTGGAGTGACACACTGATAAAGAGGGTGGAGCGACCTCTGGCTGTCGTATCAAGATAACAATTTAAGCTATCTGTTACAAACGGATATGGGGTACCAGGAAGACGATTAACTCGCAGATATCACATGTATATCATGTGTGAGTAGTCACACATGTTGAGTAGTCAATATGTGGTCACAGCACTTACATACTTCACGTCACCCACACACTCGTCTCCAATAACAGTGACTATTCTCATATATTATCTGGGACATTAACTGTAATCAGACTCCAACACCTGAGTGGCTGCTATTGTCAAGAAGGTCCTGTCAAATTGGTTTATTAGATTGTCGAGACGGTTGAAGCATGTATACGTCTGATATGTATACACACACACACACATCTACTGATGTCAATGTTTTCACTTGTAAACACTTTCTCTTCGATGGAATTAATGACTTAAAAATACAGGTAATTTAATCAAAAGACTTATGTACCAACGCACACTATAATGTAATGAATTATATATAATGTAATGCATTATTATTAAATATGACCGAAAAAAGTAAGATTAATAATTCTAACACGAATTTTCTCAATGTTTCTTATATTTTTTTCACTGTTGATGGTAACTGAAAAATCAATTCTCCAAAATTCATTTTATTTCTAGTCCGACGCGACACTGAGCGCGTTTCGTAAAACTTATTACATTTTCAAAGACTTTACTTTACACACAACAACTATAACTGAACAGAGTTTAAACATCTTCGATTTTATACCTGCATTTGGGTGAGGTGATATGTTACAACAGTTTGATGTGGCATGAGGTGAAAACAAACTTTCAAACACAAGACAGAACACGAAAACAATGGGTATAATGTTTGTAAATTAAAGGGAAGAATGGAAGTAACCACAAAGGGCCCATATTTCTTGATGTTCTATATTGGTGCGGAGTCTTGAAGTGGGTAGAATATAGTTGTGCATTAATTGGCTGTTGATTGCTGGTGTCGACTTCTTAATGTGTAGTGCCTCGCAGATATCAAGCCGCCTACTATCGCTGTATCTATCGATGATTTCCGTGTTTTTTGTTAAGACTTCTCTGGTGATGGTTTGGTTGTGGGAAGAGATTATATGTTCCTTAATGGAGCCCTGTTGTTTATGCATCGTTAATCGCCTGGAAAGAGATGTGTTGTCTTGCCTATATACTGAATTCTTTGAGGCTTACAGTCCCCAAGTGGGCATTTGAAGGCATAGACGACATTGGTCTCTTTTAAAGCGTTCTGCTTTGTGTCTGGAGAGTTTCTCATGAGTAGGTTGGCCGTTTTCTTGGTTTTATAGTAGATCGTCAATTGTATCTTCTGATTTTTGTCTGTAGGGATAACGTTTCTATTAACAATATCTTTCAGGAACCTTTCCTCCATTTTATGAGCTGTGGAAAAGAAGTTCCTGTAAACTAGTCTAATAGGGGGTATAGGTGTTGTGTTAGTTGTCTCTTCAGAGGTTGCATGGCGTTTCACCTTCCTTCTTATGATGTCTTCAACGAAACCATTGGAGAAGCCGTTGTTGACTAGAACCTGCCTTACCCTACAGAGTTCTTCATGGACTTGCTTCCATCCTGAGCTGTGGCTGAGAGCACGGTCGAAATAAGCGTTAACGACACTCCTCTTGTACCTGTCTGAGCAGTCGCTGTTGGCATTGAGGCACATTCCTATGTTTGTTTCCTTAGTGTAGACTGCAGTGTGGAAATCTCCGCTCCTTTCCATGACTGTTACATCTAGAAAGGGCAGCTTCCCATCCTTCTCCATTTCGTAAGTGAAACGCAGAAATTCACAGAATTCCGCTCAAATGCCTCCTTCAGCTCCTGCAGATGTCTGATATCAGGTACCTGTGTAAAAATGTCGTCAACATACCTGCAGTATATGGCCGGTTCAAGTTCATGTCGACTAAGACCTTTTGTTCGATGGTACCCTTGTAGAAGTTCGCAAACAGGACACCTAGGGGAGAACCCATGGCGACCCCATCTACTTGCTTATACATGTGCCATCCGGGCTCAAGAAGGGTGCCTCTTTAGTACAAGCTTAGTTTCCTTTAGTAAAGGAAACTTCTCCAAGCTTGTACAAGCTTAGTTTCCTTTAGTAAAGGAAACTACTCCAAGCTTGTACTAAAGAAGCACCCTTCTTGAGCCCGGATGGGCACATGTATGCCTCTTTAGTACAAGCTTAGTTTTCTTTAGTAAAGGAAACTACTCCAAGCTTGTACAAGCTTAGTTTCCTTTCGTAAAGAAAAACAGAAAACATTCTAAGGAAACTACTCCAAGCTTGTACTAAAGAGGCACCCTTCTTGAGCCCGGATGGGCACATGTATAAGCAAGTAGATGGGGTCGCCATGGATTCTCCCCTAGGTGTCCTGTTTGCAAACTTCTACATGGGTACTATCGAACAAAAGGTCTTATTCGACATGAACTTGAAACCGGCCATATATTGCAGGTATGTTGACGACATTTTTACACAGGTACCTGATGTCAGACATCTGCAGGAGCTGAAGGAGGCATTTGAGCGGAATTCTGTGTTGCGTTTCACTTACGAGATGGAGAAGGATGGGAAGCTGCCCTTTCTAGATGTAACAGTCATGGAAAGGAGCGGAGGTTTCCACACTGCAGTCTACACTAAGGAAACAAACATAGGAATGTGCCTCAATGCCAACAGTGACTGCCCAGACAGGTACAAGTGGAGTGTCGTTAACGCTTATGTTGACCGTGCTCTCAGCCACAGCTCAGGATGGAAGCAAGTCGATGAAAAACTCTGTAGGGTAAGGCAGGTCCTAGTCAACAACGGCTTCTCCAATGGTTTCGTTGAAGACATCATAAGAAGGAAGGTGAAACGCCACGCAACCTCTGAAGAGACAACTAACACAACACCTGTACCCCCTATTAGACTATTTTACAGGAACTTCTTTTCCACAGTTCATAAAAACGGAGGAAAGGGTCCTGAAAGATATTGTTAATAGAAACGTATATCCCTACAGACAAAAATCAGAAGATACAATTGACGATCTACTATAAAACCAAGAAAACGGCCAACCTACTCATGAGAAACTCTCCAGAAACAAAGCAGAACGCTTTAAAAGAGACCAATGTCGTCTATGCCTTCAAATGCCCACTTGGGGACTGTAAGCCTCAAAGAATTCAGTATATAGGCAAGACAACAACATCTCTTTCCAGTTAACGATTACCGATGCATAAGCAACAGGGCTCCATTAAGGAACATGCCCGAAACGCTTTGCGTAATAGTGGCTTTAGGCATTGTATGTACTAGCTCTACCTATAAGTCAACCAATCTTTGTAAAAATTTCTTGTATGTACCTTACCTAAATAAACATTTATTTATTTATTTATTTATAACATATAATCTCTTCCCACAACCAGACCATCACCAGAGAAGTCTTAACAAAAAACACGGAAATCATCGATAGATACAGCGATAGCAGGCGGCTAGATATCTGCGAGGCACTACACATTAAGAAGTCGACACCAGCAATCATCAGTCAATTAATGCACAACTATATTCTACCCACTTCAAGACTCCGCACCAATGCAGTCTCCGTGGTGTAGTGGTAAGACACTCGCCTGGCGTTCCGCGAGCGCTATGTCATGGGTTCGTATCCTGGCCGGGGAGGATTTACTGGGCGCAATTCCTTAACTGTAGCCTCTGTTTAACGCAACAGTAAAATGTGTACTTGGATGAAAAAACGATTCTTCGCGGCAGGGGATCGTATTCCAGGGACCATAGGATTAAGGACTTGCCCGAAACGCTACGCGTACTAGTGGCTGTACAAGAATGTAACAACTCTTGTATATATCTCAAAAAAAAAAAATATAGAAGCATCAAGAAATATGGTCCAATAGGCCCTTTGCGGTTACTTCCATTCTTCCCTTTAACTTACAAAATATTATACCCATTGTTTCGTGTTCTGTCTTGTGTTGAAAGTTTGTTTTCACCTCATCCAAAACTGTTGTAACATATCACCTCACCTAAATGCAGGTATAAAATCGAAGATGTTTAAACTCTGTTCACCCGGGAGACATCTCCCGTCACGCAGGGTGCAGTCGCGCCTCCACAGATCTCCAGTATCAGCTCTTGATACTGGTAATGGCTCAAAAGGGCCACCACTTACAGGCTATTCATGCCCGTGCCACCTCTTGAGTGGCTTAATCTTCATCAATCATCAATCAACTCTGTTCAGTTATAGTTGTGTGTGTGTAAACTAAAGTCTTTGAAAATGTAATAAGTTTTACGAAACGCGCTCAAGTGTCGCGTCAGACAAGAAATAAAAATGAATTTTGGAGAATTGATTTTTCAGTTACCATCAACAGTGAAAAAAATATAAGAAACATTGAGAAAATTCGTGTTAGAATTATTAATCTTACTTTTTCGTTCATATTTAATAATATATGTCTACAGGAAAGACTTCTACCAAAATATACTAATGTAATGCTTTATATATAAGGAACAAATTTTCCATTAAATATAATTTAAATGTGCATCTGTATAATTGAGGATTTGATTAAAATCATTTCTGTCACAATCGTAAACAAATCGTACTCACGCAAGCGTAAATGTGTCATGTAAACAGATATTTTTGTACACAAACACACGGTAGATTACGACTATGCAATCTAACACTTAATGTATCTTTACTCAAGCTTGGCAAGATAACACTGGGGCAGTGAGTCAGGTGCCCGGGACCACCACTGTGTCAGGTACCGTGACCTCCCGAGAAAGAAACCCAATTTTCTCTTTTTTTTCCACAGAATGTCTGGGGGCAGCGGTGATGGCGCCCCAGAGAGGGATGACTGTGGCCGTGCTGGTGTGAGGAAGGACAGTCTGCCGTTCAGCAGTGAAAGGTATAACCAAGATAACAGGTACACCAATAACGCCAAGAACTCAATAAAACCTTCCCCCGTTGATCATGACCTTGGCGATGGACCATCGTTGTTGTCCATCAGTGTCGACCGTGAGGTCCTGCGCCTGCCAAGGGTTATTCCTCGCCCCTCCTGGAGGGCTGATCAGGGTTATCAAAGACTCAGAGTATGTCGCCAGAACACAAGTGAGGTTAACATGGAGTTAGAAGACTCTTCTCACAACCTGGAACATGGCGTCCGAGGGTCTCCAAAGTCGAATCAAGAAAGAAAAGAAAAAAGCCACCTTGATAGTGGTAATGACTATAATTATGATTATTCTCAGGAAAATTGGATTCTGCGAGATTCTATGAGCCAACATAAGAGGTCAGAGATGGGTGCTAGACGAGACCACATACCATTACCGAGACCTACAAGACGTGGTAACACACGACTGGACGCAAGGGAGCAGGGGGAGGTGACGCAAGAGCAGCCTCCACACGTCTCCCACCACTGGGATGACTGGGACGCAACACCAACTGACACAGAGGCCGTCAACCTACTGGTTGATTTACTGCCTTCTCAAATAGAAAGAAAAACAGGTATGTATCCTATTATACTTAATAAACTTTCATTGTTACTGAAGCAAAAACAAAAAGATTGTTGAATCAATGCTCAGTTTACCGTATCAAACATCACTTGTATACTATCATAGGAGCCTAAAGATTGGCATTATATATATATATATATATATATATATATATATAGATATGTATATATATATATATATATATATATATATATATATATATACATATATTATATATATATATATACATATATATATATATATATATACATATATATATATATATATATATATATATATATATATATATATATATATATATACATATATATATATATATATATCATATATATATATATATATATATATATATTACATATATATATATATATATATATATATATATTATATATATATATATATATATATACATATATATATTACATATATATATATATATATATATATATATATATATATATATATATATATATATATATATATATATATATATATATATATATATATGTGAGGGTTGTGAGGCAGGTGCGGGTGAGTGTGTTGTGAGGGTGTGAACTAGACATACAGGTAGACATGCCACTTTTAAAACCCATCTTCATGTACTGTTTCTTAAACATATCTTCCTATTAGCATAATATGTGGCAAGTAACTCCACTTCAGTTGCAGGAGTGTTCTCGAACACACACTAAATTATATCTCACAGTGTAAGGACAAGTATGTGGGTGTTCAGGTACTCTGAGGCTCCGGGGGGCGACGAGGCCGGCGGACCCCACACACGCCCCGCGCTCACCGGGACGCCCTGGACACCAGCGTGAGTTAATGACGCAATGTTCACATATTTATGCTAATGTGCAACACTTATCCTGTATTGCATTCATGTTATGATAGGTAGCATGGTGCAGGTGTTGCTTCTGAGGCTTCAGCTAACACAGGGCAATGCACTGCATGCATCTCCTTTGCAGTCATCGACGATTGTCGCATTATCAATAGACAGATTTCTCGTCAGCACTAGTGCACTACATACATTATTAAATATTGTAAAACATCCTTCTATAAGTAAACTTTCTAGCATATCTATTGTTGATCATCTTAAATGATGCCAACTGAGGCAGCGTTGGCGTCTTGCCCTAGATCACAGCGAGGCGGAGATCGTGGAGGCGCTGGAGAGGGTGAAGGAACAACCGTGGCCGATGACCAGACGCAGGACGACACGGCAACAACTCCTCCAGGAACTGGTAAGAAACACAAGTGTGGAAGATGAGAGATGGAGGAAGCGGATGGAGGTGTGGTTCATCTTAGCTAATAAACTGGTGGTGGAAGAGTTGCCAGGGGTGGGGTCCAGCACGGGAGGGATGCCAGGGGTGGGGTCCAGCACGGGAGGGATGCCAGGGGTGGGGTCCAGCACGGGAGGGATGCCAGGGGAGGGGTCCAGCACGGGTGGGATGCCAGGGGCGGGGTCCAGCACGGGAGGGATGCCAGGAGCGGGGTCCAGCACGGGAGGCATGCCAGGGGTGGGGTCCAGCACGGGAGGCATGCCAGGGGTGGGGTCCAGCACGGGAGGGATGCCAGGGGCGGGGTCCAGCACGGGAGGGATGCCAGGGGTGGGGTCCAGCACGGGAAGGATGCCAGGGGCGGGGTCCAGCACGGGAGGGATGCCAGGGGCGGGGTCCAGCACGGGAGGGATGCCAGGGGTGGGGTCCAGCACGGGAGGGATGCCAGGGGCGGGGTCCAGCACAGGAGGAATGCCAGGGGTGGGGTCCAGCACGGGAGGGATGCCAGGGGCAGGTGTAACGGGGGGTGGGGGGAAATAGCTCTATCTTGTCCATTATTCCACCCCCCAGTTAACTAACGAGGCCGGGGGAAACAGCTCTCTCTAGTCCGTTATCCCGTCCTCAGTTAGCTAACTATTCTAGAGCACCTCCAGAGTTCCTAAGGCAGCCTCTCTCGTTCAACACCTTGTAACCTAGGTATTTGACTACCTAGCTGCTAAGACTACAAGGCGCCAAAAACTCTAGAGAGAACTCTAGAACACATTTCACTGCCACAAACGTATAAGAGAAACGAAAGGAAAGAGATGAATAATTAGGTAATTAGTGAGGGTTTGGGGTGAGAGGTAGAGAGGTGGGAGGAGCGCGGAGGGTCATTAGTTGAAAGGGAGAGTTTGGAGAGGGGTGGAGGGAGAGGTGTAGATAGATAGAAGTAGAAGAGTAGTTAGTAGAAGTAGAAGAGTAGATAGTAGAAGAAGAAATGCTGCCACCATCCATTCTAGACCATTTCATACAAGACAAGGAATGGAACTTGTCTGTATCACAATATTCTCAAAAGATGTTATCAAAAGGTCATTATTAGTATGTTCCATCTGTATCATGTACTCATTAAATCATGAAACCACAGAGGCTTTCTCATCTCAACTCAAAAACTCTAGGGAACAAAGTTAAAGACAATTTAAATAATAACTTCAATTATATTTCACATGATATCATAATTTAAGCAAGTCAACTTAATGTTGAATTAAAGATGATGCTTAAAGATGCAAAGTGAGTCATCATCCAAGAATTCGAGAACCCTACAACTTGACTGCCCCTGATCCTCACACAACACTTGTAAACATGACCAAGTCACCTTAATGTTCAACTCACCAAGTGTCTGCCTATAGCTGGATTGAGAGGGAGGGGGGGGGGGGGGTCTGTAGTTGACAGAGACTGTCCCGCCTTGCCGGCTGACAGCCTCCCTGGCTAGGCCGTCTTCTCCTCTGCTTTGCTGGCTGGCTCCTGCTCTTATTCCTACCCTATGCTCTGCTCTCCGAGTATATATTGGGGAACCTAGTAGCTAACTCCGCCCACAAGTAGATAGTCTCAGGCACTCTACCAAGCCACTCCTTAAACGTCGGCATTTTTGAAGGCCAATTATCAGATTAGCAGAAGCAAGGTGGAATTCGCATGATCTGACCTCAGGTCACTTGGGGTCCTGGTTGATACCTGGTTGATGGGGTTCTGGGAGTTCTTCTACTCCCCAAGCCCGGCCCGAGGCCAGGCTCGACTTGTGAGAGTTTGGTCCACCAGGCTGTTGCTTGGAGCGGCCCGCAGGGCCACGTACCCACCACAGCCCGGCTGATCCGGAACTTCTCTTAGAAAACCGTCCAGTTTTCTCTTGAAGATGTCCACGGTGGTTCCGGCAATATTTCTTATAGTCGCTGGGAGGACGTTGAACAACCGCGGACCTCTGATGTTTATACAGTGTTCTCTGATTGTGCCTATGGCACCTCTGCTCTTCACTGGTTCTATTCTGCATTTTCTTCCATATCGTTCACTCCAGTACGTTGTTATTTTACTGTGTAGATTTGGGACCTGACCCTCCAGTATTTTCCATGTGTATATTATTTGGTATCTCTCTCGTCTCCTTTCTAGAGAGTACATTTGGAGAGCTTTGAGACGATCCCAATAATTTAGGTGTTTTATCTCGTCTATGCGTGCCGTATATGTTCTCTGTATTCCCTCTATTTCAGCAATCTCACCTGCTCTGAAGGGGGAAGTGAGTACTGAGCAGTACTCGAGACGGGACAGCACAAGTGACTTGAAGAGTACAACCATTGTGATGGGATCCCTGGATTTGAAAGTTCTCGTAATCCATCCGATCATTTTTCTGGCTGACGCGATATTTGCTTGGTTATGCTCCCTAAACGTTAGATCGTCGGACATCATTATTCCTAAATCCTTTACATGCTGTTTTTCTACTATGGGAAGATTCGATTGTGTTTGTACCCTGTATTATGTTTCAGATCCTCATTTTTGCCGTACCTGAATACCTGAAATTTATCACTGTTAAACATCATGTTATTTTCTGCTGCCCAATCAAAAACTTTGTTGACATCTGCTTGTAGTTTTTCAATGTCTTCAGCAGAGGTAATTTTCATGCTGATTTTTGTGTCATCTGCAAAGGACGACACGAAGCTGTGGCGTGTATTTTTGTCTATATCAGATATGAGAATAAGGAACAGTAGCGGTTGCAAGGACTGTACCTTGAGGTACAGAGCTTTTAACATCGCTTGGACTCGATTTTATCTGATTGACTGTTACTCTTTGTGTTCTGTTCGACAGGAAATTGAGTATCCAGCGTCCTACTTTTCCAGTTATTCCCATTGACCTCATTTTGTGAGCTATCACCCCATGGTCACATTTGTCGAACGCCTTTGCAAAGTCTGTGTATACAACATCTGCATTTTGCTTTTCTTCTAGGGCTTCTGTGATTTTGTCATAGTGGTTGAGTAACTGTGACAGACAGGATCTTCCCGCTCTAAATCCATGTTGTCCTGGATTGTGCAATTCATTGTTTTCCATAAAACTAGAAATTTGATTCCTAATCACTCTTTCAAACACTTTTATTATGTGTGATGTTAGTGCAACTGGCCTATAATTTTTTGCCAAGGCTTTACTCCCCCCCTTGTGCAACGGAGCTATATCTGCAGATTTAAGTGCTGCTGGTATCTCCCCTGTATCCAGGCTCTTTCTCCATATTACGCTGAGTGCTCTCGCTACTGGTACTTTACATTTCTTTATGAATATTGAATTCCATGAGTCAGGCCCAGGAGCTGAGTGCATAGGCATATTATCAATTTCTCTTTCAAAGTCTTCCGAGTTTGTGGTAATATCCGTTATATTATCTGCAGCTTGAATGTCATTCATAAAGAAGCTGTCTGGGTCATCAACTTTCATGTTGTTTATTGGTGTGCTAAACATAGCCTCATACTGGCTTCTTAGAATTTCACTAATTTCTTTGTTGTCCTCTGTGTACGTACCTTCTTTTGTAATTAACGGTCCAATACTGGTCGAGGTTTTGGATTTTGATTTTGCGTATGTGAAAAAATATTTCGGATTTTTCCTTATCTCTTGTATAGCTTTCTGTTCCAATTCCATTTCCTCAGACTCATATGATCGCTTCAACGTTTGTTCTATTTCCTCAATCTCCCTGCTTAGGCTTGTTTTCCTTGCTTGTGATAGTTGTGTCTGCCGAAGCATTTCCGTTATTTTTTTCCTTCTCCTGTACAGTCGTCTGCGTTCTCTTTCTAGAGTGGTCCTCTTTCTGCCCCTCCTCACAGGCACGTGCTTCAAGCAGACCTTGTAAGCTTCAGCTGACAGTTGAGCTATTCCCTGTGTGGGAGTTTTGTCGCTTGTCGGTCATTAACGCTTAGAGGTGTGAGACTCAGGCCGACCAAACTGGCGCCTCTCAAATCCTTGTTTCTGACTCGTGTATCTATATGCATGTATTAAGTAAAACTAAACCAAACACCATACGGTGTTACACAGGGTCCAGCACGGGAGGGATGCCAGGGGTGGGGTCCAGCACGGGAGGGATGCCAGGGGTGGGGTCCAGCACGGGAGGGATGCCAGGGGTGGGGTCCAGCACGGGAGGGATGCCAGGGGTGGGGTCCAGCACGGGAGGGATGCCAGGGGAGGGGTCCAGCACGGGAGGGATGCCAGGGGCGGGGTCCAGCACGGGAGGGATGCCAGGGGCGGGGTCCAGCACGGGAGGGATGCCAGGGGCGGGGTCCAGCACGGGAGGGATGCCAGGGGCGGGGTCCAGCACGGGAGGGATGCCAGGGGCGGGGTCCAGCACGGGAGGGATGCCAGGGGCGGGGTCCAGCACGGGAGGGATGCCAGGGGCGGGGTCCAGCACGGGAGGGATGCCAGGGGCGGGGTCCAGCACGGGAGGGATGCCAGGGGTGGGGTCCAGCACGGGAGGGATGCCAGGGGTGGGGTCCAGCACGGGAGGGATGCCAGGGGTGGGGTCCAGCACGGGAGGGATGCCAGGGGTGGGGTCCAGCACGGGAGGGATGCCAGGGGTGGGGTCCAGCACGGGAGGGATGCCAGGGGCGGGGTCCAGCACGGGAGGGATGCCAGGGGTGGGGTCCAGCACGGGAGGGATGCCAGGGGCGGGGTCCAGCACGGGAGGGATGCCAGGGGCGGGGTCCAGCACGGGAGGGATGCCAGGGGTGGGGTCCAGCACGGGAGGGATGCCAGGGGTGGGGTCCAGCACGGGAGGGATGCCAGGGGTGGGGTCCAGCACGGGAGGGATGCCAGGGTGGGGTCCAGCACGGGAGGGATGCCAGGGGTGGGGTCCAGCACGGGAGGGATGCCAGGGGTGGGGTCCAGCACGGGAGGGATGCCAGGGGCGGGGTCCAGCACGGGAGGGATGCCAGGGGCGGGGTCCAGCACGGGAGGGATGCCAGGGGCAGGGT